GGATTTGCGTTCATATCTGTGCATGTCTCTCCATAATAACATTTTCAATACAAATTCCTATCTTTTAAAGCTTGTGATGCATTTTGTTACATTATATGTCATATACGCTCGATCAGGAAAGGACATTTCTTGACTTTATTAAACGGTATGTATGGATTTTTCATCCCAACAAATATGTTTTTAAAATTTAAAATGTAAAAGAAAATGTCTAAAAATGTTTTGCTAAATTGACTTCAATTGCATATATAAAAAACACTCCTAACAAAATGAAAGTTAATAGCTAATACTGTCCACGCTATATATATTGAAAGCGCGTGCTTACTCTAGAATTTAGAGGAGGACAATTTTAACACAATGTTGATGTTCGAACAGAGAGTAACATATCTAGTAGATGGCCATTTTCCATTGTTGTACATGTATATCTGGGTCATTAGAGGATTATCAATCGCATATCCTCAGATCTATTAATATATGTATTTACTTAAAAACAAGAACTTTAAGATCTTGAAACTAAATACAGAGTACATCAAATGGTTTCCCGTTGATAAACAAAAATCAATTCATCCATCTTCATGCGTAAAGTATTAATGATATAACACGAAAAACAATTAATTATTCTGAATATTTGTTATCATTTTTGTTTTGGTTTACTTTTGTTTTCTTTTTTTTTCTTGCCTATTTTTCATTCTTAGAACTGCCTAATTAAGAAAATGACCCTGTTTCAGATAAGGGGAGTTGTTAAGAACACGAGGACGTTAAAATTACTTTTCATTGTGGTGTAGTACCACAGTTTTTGCGTTCATTGATAAACCATGCGCTCTTATGATGATATATCGGTGGTAAATGTTTTATGGCATATATTTCACTACCGCTAAAGCATTTTTATTTTTTAATAAGAAGCGCGCTTAGCCCCACTGTTATAGAACTAAAATGTCACAGTTGATTTGCTACTCTACTTCTCTATTAATTGAACTTGAATTTCAAGACTGATTTACTCTAGTACTCCTGCTGTTTATAGGGTATGTGGTTCATAACAACATTTGCATGAAGCTTAGATATGGCGTTGTTTGCTGAAATGATGGTCAACCAATTCACCCCTGAAGACACATTTGAACTGTTCCAATTCTAAGCTTAGAATAGTTCATTTTGAGGGATGAATGAGTTAAGTTGACCCAGACTCATACAAGAGACAAGCAGATGACCAGGTTGCAGGCAGCAAGAGAATGAATTGAAGATATAATCCACTGAGCTGAATACTATGTACTCACCTATTTTACCATCCTATACTGTCGAAAAGGGCGTAAAAGACATAGGTTTAACTAAGGCGAAAATTGCGATGTGTACCGGATAGTTTAAAGGATAGTATCCTGATAAAACAAGAAAATGAAACAAAGCTGCTGGACACCGGATCTTTAGACGAAAAACACTTACTGAGAGTGCAACAGCCATGAAGAACAGATGCTGCACACTATAATGTATTCTTCAAACATTAAAGGCATACATTTTAATGTTCAGCATTTTCTGTCTACGGTAAATAGCCTCACATGTAGCTCTATTGTCACTCAATGATTTCTCCAATGCACGAAAATGTACAATATCTACTGCATATTTAAATGTCATCCATTCGGTAATTATGTCATTTTAGAGATAAGATACCGTACATGATGTACGAAAAATATAATGTATACCTGCCGCATTTTCACAAAAAAATGTTTTTAATGAACTTTTAAATAAATTATTAGCTGTATTATTTGTTAAAGGTTCAGAATTTGAATTTTACGTTAAATGTTAATATCTAGTGATGGAAACTTGTCAAAGAAGTTGTTACCTCTGTTATATAGGAGTCGTTAAAAGTAGTGTGTATATGTTATTAGTTCCAAAGATGTAAGGGTAATAATTTTGTACGTTATAGTCCGGTGTGCGGAGTCTCCGCCACCGGACCCAAATTTAGTTCTCTTTCACGCGCACTGCAAATGGAGATTGCCACGGTAGTCTGTCCTCAGGTAATTTTGGGTTGTTTGACTATGTAAATATGTTAATAACGACTGAATGTAGCCTTGGTATATAGTAAATACGTTAACTGTTTAATGTTGTCGTGGTTATCTGTTGGTTTAGCAGAAACGGTGTATTACGACCGTAACAGAAATTGGGGGCTCGTCCGGGATAGAACGATTAGAGTGACCGACGTGTCACGCGGAGTAAACAAACTTTTGAGCAATTTACTGCTAAACCAACCGACTACCATGGCAAGTGCGCCTTTTTTAAGTCTCCCAGTGTCGAAGACTATAAGAATTTAAAGAAAAGGGATGTATTCGCTATTGCCAAACACTACGTTGGACGTAAAACAGTCTATGAGGAAACAAAGTATTACGAATATTCTGGTAGAGTATTTAGTAGAAGAGGAACTTCTAGATAACACTGCTTAAAAATTGATTGTTGACAATACAACCGAGAATTACAAAATACGGGAGTTGGAACTCCAATATCAGCGGGAAAGGGAAGAGAGAGAGAACAGGACAGAATGAAAGAGGAACGTGAATTGCGACTGAAAGAAAGGGAGTTGGAACTACAATTTGAAAGGGATCAGAGATACCATGATTTTAAGTTAAAAGAGTTAGAATTAATAAATCAATCTAACCTTGCCCCAAGGCTTGCTGGTGCCAATTATTTTGATGCTGCTAAAAATATCAGGATTGTTCCTCGCTTCCAAGAAAAAGAGGTTGATAGATATTTCCAACATTTTGAGAAAGTTGCACTCAGTATGAAGTGGCCCAAAGATGTTTAGACATTGTTACTTCAGACTGTGCTTATTGGGAAAGTTAGAGAAATATATATCTGGAATGCCTGTTACTGATGGCGGGGATTTTGAGTTGGTGAAGAGCGCCATTTTAAAGGCGTATGAATTGGTACCAGAGGCCTAAAGGCAGAGGTTCCGAAACTTCCAGAAGGAAACTGAGCAAACGCATGTGGAGTTTGCGCGAGAGAATGAGAGACTGTTTGATAGGTGGTTGGACTCTAACACTGTTGATAACCAGTATAGCAGGTTAAGGGAGCTGGTCATTTTAGAGGAATTTAAGAACTGCTTACACTCGGACATCAAAACGCACTTAGCAGAGCATAAAGTTGACAACTTGGGGGAAGCATCTAGTTTGGCGGATGAGTATTCCCTTACTCATAAACTGAGTTCGGGTAAAGGTCCACAGGGTCCGACCGGTTGTAAAACCCCTCCTTCCCAAAACAGTGGTTTTCGTGATTATGTCCCATCTAGCATTGGTAGTATGGATAACACCTAGGGGCCGCAGATGAAAGTCTACAATTCTGATAATCATAGACCGGGGTCTATCCTGGTGTGCGGGCATTGTAAGAAGAAAGGTCACATCATGTCAGATTGTTGGTCGTTGAAGAGAATAGAGGAAAAGAAGAGTCAAGCTCTCCCTCATGCCCGTTCTGTTAAAACCCCAAAGAAGTCATGTGTTGAGTTAGAGGGAATGCAATCTCAGTCTGAGAAAGTGATGAGTAGTTTCCACTCCTGCTTAACGCTCAGCAAATTAGGAGTGGGACGACTGGTTCGCCCCCGTTGTCAGTATATTGTGACCTGGTGGGGTGTCCTGCTGGGTGTCTTTGGCAAGATGTTTAAGTGAGGTAGCACTATAAAGTCGGCATCAATTCCGCGCTGTCACAAGGAGACAAACTCGAACATATCGCAGCCTCCCAAAATACACACTCATACACTACACGCAGGTATCTTGCACGCAGGGGAGACCGTCCTTAAATGACCTCAGCTGTTAATAGGACGTTAAACAAAATAAAACCAAACCAAATGTTAAGCTTAGGGCATGATATCCCCATGGCTGGGCACTTAAGAGTTAACAAGACTTACCATCGCATTTTGACTCACTTTTATTGGCCCAAGCTAAAGAAAGACCTAGCGAATCACTGCAAGTCGTGTCACATCTGTCAGATTGTGGGCAAGCCCAATTAAAAGGTTCCTGTAGCTTCACTCCATCCAAGTATTCTATAAAAACACGCTCCGCTATAACGTCAATTTTCTTGTTGTAATTACAAATTTGTTTTAAACCGGTGTAGTTATGTAAATACCATAATGTATGTTGCAAAAGTGGAACAAAACAGCCACTTGTTTGCCGTCGCTTCATCTGAACGTTTTACTTAAAATCATTACAGTAAAGATACCGTTCCATTATGATTGGATAATACTAAGAATGATCTATTTACTTGTGTAGATATAAAATTTTGTATATCTTGACTGCAGTGAAAATAAAATATTTTACAAACGACGAACTCATGATATTTCACTGGTAAAATGTAATACAGAGATACATTCTAGGGGTTAATTAATATATTTTGACAGATAGGAAGCGGCCTCAATTTCCAAGAAGCCCTCACGCATGGGGAAGCACCAGAAATGGACAAAATGTTTACAAACTCTGCGACGCGTCGCGTCGCTTAGGGGTTTGAACAAACATATCCATGACCATTTAATAACGTCAAATGTCTCGGTCAGCTATATTTACTTGTCCTGACATTGTTTTCTTTAAATACAAAAACACATCCCAAGCATTTTCATAAAAAATGAAATACACTGTATGATACTAACAACTATAGTTAAATATAAAGAAAAACATGTGGTCGGGCAGGTGCTCCCTTACCTTTTTACGTCCGATCGGATAAATAAAAACCGGCCGCCTTGGTTAAAGGCGAACATGCTATACACTGCGCCACACAACAACCGAACCATAAATATCATAAATATACAATAAATGTATTTTTACTTTAACTCCATTCAATTGCTATAAACCATCCCTGTCAGGTGATTACAATAATGATTAATTAAAGTGGTTTTTTTTTTAATAAACTATAGATTAACAATTTAATTGTTATATAAAACCATTTTAAATTGAAAAGGAATACTTTAGTACGCCTTTTTGATATTCCAAGCACAACTGTTCCTATAAAATGTTCAGTTTATATTTGTTCAACAGGCTTACTGAAGATTAATTCAGAACCAATGGGCGAATTCGAGATGGATGAACTGTCTGCTACCAGGAATCAAGGTAACACAGCAGAAGTTATCACTACACCAGAAAACGGTTTGCTACCGGAAGTCGAGAAGATTACAGTAGAGTATGAAGATATGCCAAAGAGGTTGCTATTCAATGTTTCTGATCGGACACCATTTCACATGGCTATTTTCTGTGCCTTCCAGGTAATAACAGCCTTACGTAAAACATGTAAAATACCATGTAAATGACGGCTAATTTGGATATTTTCTTTTCTTTTTATCACGTTTCCTGTTTTCTGTTCCTTTTATGTATTTACGAATCTAACTTTCGTATCTGTTCTTGTAATACTAGTAATACAGACTGTAAAGAAAACAGTTGCTTTGAGATTCATCACAGATCACTATTTTCTCCCACAATTACTACAGGTTTTTCTCACTAGCGACTCATTAGATAAATTTGCAACTTGGATATGATTTCATTGGTCGATATTTAAATTTTGTCGTTACATACAAATACTTTGCGACCTCTTCTTCCATTGTGATGTAAATAGTCGTAGCGAGTGGCCCACAAAAATAATATATATACTAGTATATATATTTCCATGTTAAAAGTACAATATTTTAGATGAAGAATCTGAACTTTATGGTAGGAAAAGATGCACAAACATTAATTGTTCAAGTGAGTTGATGAAATGGATTACTTGGTCGTAGATGTGTTTTGTTGGTGAATAGACATCTATGATTCTTTCTATTTTAAAAATGAGAAATGTTAAATACCTTCTTTGGATAGAAAATCAATGAAGACTTCTACCTCGATTTGGAAACATACCGAATAATTCTTGGCTTGCTGTCATAGCATATTTTGTCCTTTTAGTATATTTTGTCTTTTCAGCAAGTTTTGATAGTGTTGTCAGGATCGTTAGCCGTATCGTCGTTCGTGGCGGACGCAGCATGTGCTGATGAGTTCCCAGACATAAAGGCAGACCTGCTCAGCTCCGCTATGTTTATGAGTGGCCTCACAACTCTCCTTATGGTTTTGATTGGTTTCAGGTAATTCGTATTCGTGCTATAAATCCATTACATTATGACAATAGTTATTTTTCTGATTGCTCTTGAAACAGCTTATTAACGAAGATTTTCTGACCGAGAGATCGATCAGAAAACATGTTTCGATATCTATACCAACAGTTGAATGGATATACACGATTTCGACTTTCCTTTCCTGAACTTTACCTTTTTTGATAGCAACAACCCTAAACCCCATATTTACTGTATTCACAGGCCGCAGTCGGTAATGTCCTGTTTTTTTCTGTTCAAGGATAATAGTAAAATAAAATGTTATGTAATTTAGTAGCAATAATGATATACAACATGTGTATAGCGCCCTTTATAATTTGTAAAATTACTCTGAAGCGCTTTACAACATATATGGATAATATTATTAGTAATAATTGATAAACAAAAAGGCATGCAAATTACCATTATACGTTAAGTAAGAAGATAATCATGTGAACATGAATATAAATGAATATAAAGGGTGGTGTGTACATAACGTCTGTTTTACAATCCCAAACACAACTATCAGAAACTGTCGGTGTATATTGAGGATATTTTATGGTTTCCCATTGAATACTATATATGTGTTTCATAAATCAGTTAGAATATCAATATTCATCAACGAGTGTGAAGCACGAATGAAAATACCGGAGTTTCCTGCAATACAAGTCATGTGTTCTTACTTGCATGCTTGATTTTACGCGAAAAAATATTTAAAATTTATATTTAAAATTTATATTTGTCTATGATGCTCATTTTTTCAGGCTGATTTGTAAATTTGCAATTATTAAATTTATTCTATCCGCACTCAGCACGCTGTTTATGACCTTAAACCCCACCTGATTCATTGCAAATTACGAATGGTTTCGTAAGGGGTAATGGTGTTTGTTCAACGTGTGATGATGAGTATTTTATGCTGTCTTCCTCTATTAATTTTTGTTTTCACGTCATTGTTTATTGTTAAGCGCTTGTCGAATTGAAGTTTGTGGGTTTTCAAACACTAATCTGAACAGACAAAAAAAGACAACTGTGCACAACGTCAGAAAAGATAAAATGGACAGGCGTCCGTGAAATGAATATAAAATCATCACGAAACAAATATCTACCTGCACAAAAGTACTACTTTAAAAGAAATTGTAAACGTCTTGAATAATTTAGGACTAGGGGAACATGGGTAGATAAGAAAGACATTATTGTTACATTTAACGTGAAAGATTAAATGTAACAAAAATTGTTGATACATCATAGTGGAATATATAACTCGAGATACCAATTTGTTGGTAAAACAATCACACCATGCCGAAGCGGCTTTCATTAATGTTTGTTTGATTGTTTGTTTAATGACCCCTGGACATATATGGTAATTTAGGGCCAGATAAAAATCATTGATATCGGGCGACTATTTGAGGAATAAAAATTAAAATAATATTTAAAAAAAACTTATAGTTTAAGTTTAGCAGCAGGACTGACTTAGAAAGTCGAAATAGTGCAAAGGGGTAAATGCATTCGTTTTAAATTTACCGATATTACACTGGGGTTAAAATCTATATACGGCAGGTTTATGTTGGTTTGCTGGCAGTTTTATTAATATTTTCCTCAAAATTTTCTCAATATTTTTTAAATTATTTTGAAAATATATATCCAAGTTCTTTTCTTCGCCATAACACATACGTATTTACTTCGCCAGGTTGCCCGTGTTTCAAGGATCATGTGCTGACTATGTTATACCTTTGATGGCAATACGATCGCTCAATAAGGATTTATGTCATATTCCAGGTAGGTCATTTTTACATTTTAATATATTACATTGTTTCATATAATACTAATGAATTAATTTTCATACATGGCAAAAAAAAAAACCAGTTATATTTTATGTAAGGTAATGTTACATTACTTGATTGGACAGAATCTTAAGTGTAAATGAAAATATTGCACCAGGCACTGAAGATAAATAAAAAACAATCAAAAAGCTAGAAAGCTTTGTCATCAACCACTGTTTATAACGTTTGTCGCAAATCTTACTGGCCCAAGGATCATTAAACGATTATAAGTCTAAAAGTCTCCTAAATTTTAACTTAGAAAACACAAATAAGGTCATGAAAAATAGAAAGAAATAAAACTTTAATTTTATAAATCACAATTGAACCTTTTTTTAACTTGCACTTAACAGCTTCAAGAATGTATCATGATCCCGGGGCCTGATGCCAATAATAGTGTTTGTTCACGAATATGTTTCTTTTCTTAGATTCACAGATTATTGCTCATAACAACCTTACTATATCAAATGGTAGTTATATTCCAATAAATGAAACAATGAACATTGTTGATCTGAAGAGGGAACTTGCATTTTCTAAGCTTCAAGAGGTAAGACATATTTTGTTATAACTGTTTTCTTTTTAGATTGTACTGAAGGTATTCCATGTAACAATGTATCATATGTTTTGTTAATATTTTCTTCCGGTATCTTATTTGTTGGTGAGTGGAGAGATGGTATTTCCAAATACAAGTGTAAAATAGGAGATTATTAAAATGTTATTTCACTACTGTGAAGTCAGAGAAAACGCTATATCTTCACATGCGATGATAAACGTTGCTATAGTGATTTATTTTTGAACACAATAAGAAAGTTATTATCTTACAATGTAAGTGAATCAAAGCTGCATAGTTTTTTGCACATCTCAAAGCATTTACATTAGTGCCTGGTAGATTACATTCGTAAGCAATTCGTACCTGACAAAACATAATTATATAGCGAAGCCTTATTGACAAATATGACGTCATGAGAATATAATACAAAATGTTATATCATTAATACAAAAGGAACAATTGATCAAATCACACATAATTAGTTAATATCAAACCTACGCGATAAATAAGCAATGTAATTCACATGATCACATTTATGACATTTATACAAATCTGACATAAACTTTTCTTTGCAACTTCTCTTTTGCAAGATGTTGTGGTATTGAAACTAACAAATGTGCAATTCTTATTATTTAATGATGACGTTACAGTAAACTCCTTGATACCACAATCCTTTAACGCTTTAGATTATATTTACACTGTAGGTAGATAATGCAATCGGGTTAAAACACATATTTTTCCAGTAACTCTATTTTGAAACTTTTTTTACTTTCGTTTTCCTACATGAGAATTCCATACAAATCTTATTTTGCAATAGATATATTTATAGAATCACTTTATAGAATCAAAAACAAAATTCATTTTTTTTTGTCATCGATGAAAGTTACGTTTATCTTTCTATAAAGAAAGGACAATGCTTTAAGTCGGAAAGCATTAATAGAACTCTTGTCTTTTAGATTGTTGCAGGTGCAGAGACACTTTTGTACTTCAAATAAGTTTATGATAACAAATTGCAATATTAATGCTTATATTTCCTATAAATAACGACTTGATCGTTCTAACAAATGCATATGAAGTCTAAATGTTATTCATCTAGTTATAACATAACGAATATATCTTAACTATTCCTCTAATAACATCAACGTATTTTATAGTTTCAGGGTTGTCTGATCCTGGTGGGTGTGATTCATTGTCTTGTCGGGTTGACGGGTACAGTTGGGTTCCTCCTCCGGTTTGTCGGACCAATCACCATAGTACCTACTATATTACTCACCGGTATATTTCTGTCCAGAGCGACCGCCAAATTTTCAAAAGCTCACTGGGGTATATCTAGTGTGTAAGTAAATATACTTATCATTGATGTTTATGTTTAAAACAACAGGGCAATTTGTCTAAACCGAATACTAGAGTTTCAGCTTTGGTTCTTTTTTTGAACTGATTAATGCAATTTACATTTGTGTCATATTTGCTATTCTTAAGAGACAAAGAACGTACCAGTAATTATTGCATAGAATGAAAACAAAGTAAAGGGGTCATACTTTTGTATAGGATTGAGCCTACTGAGTTCTGTACAACAAAATCTAAACCTATGGAGGATATGTCTGTTCATTCAAGACGGCTTATCAGACTCTATTGGAAAACTCTTATATTGCCAAACACAAGGCTTGCCGAGTATTCGGCATCTTAAGAATCTCTCCGTTAGGGTTTATATTTCACATCTCACCTCAAGGTGGTCAAATATTTCTTTTCTTTTACCATGTTTACCCTGTACTATACATAACGCAATGTTGATGTTACAGATTAATTGCTTTGTTAAAGGGCGTGCACGCATGGTTTACGTAACGTCACACAATTGTTTCCCCTGTCTCAACTCTAGGATGTGATAAGGATATCTCACACCGGGAAATGTGTAGATACATCTATCCAGGAGAAGAGAAAAGTATATCTCACATCAGAAAAAAGTGTAGATACATCTGTCCAGGGGACCAGGTGAAGAAAAACGGAAATTGCGAATTGATCTGAATACTGTTCTGTTTATAAAGTGGTTCAATGTATTTGTTATTACGTCGTGTTGTGATTCGGTTTGTAACGCTCTAGATCTCTATATTGGTGAAACTTGCAATTAGAAATCTCCTGGACACAATATATAAAAACTATGCTTGTGTATTCTTATCAAACGAATTTTTGTTATTAACAATAAATGCAATCACAACTTTGTGAATAGGTTTTGGAGATCATACAAAACACATTAATCGTTATTTGTTGCAGTTAAGTTCAGTGTTCAAATGTTATTTGATGTATATTTTGATTCATTATCAAATTGATATCAAGATATTCATGTTTGACATTTTTATATATATCCAACATGGGATGATTAAGCCTGTGTTTTTGTTGTGCTTTGCTTATTTTGTTCTTAATCTGAATCACTAAAACTTTACAAGCAATGTATGGATCTGAAGCGATTTATAACAAAATACACTTTTGTGTTTGAGCAACATTTGTCTCGTCAAAACGTGGATAACCCAAGTAATTTGGATGACACGTTTGCCATGCATTCATATCACAACAAAATATCTTCGGAATCATTAGTCGTGCTTTGTTTCTTGGAACAAAACCATTATTTTACTGCTGTATATGTGTCATGGTAAACTATGTCACTTGTGATAAATATTCTTGCAAAAAGAAAACAAAAGTTTGATGACTTTGTTATACATTTAGAAACCTTTTTCAAGTGTCATTACTTTTACCATCTCAATGTATTCCTGTAGTCAAGTTAGTTTTGATTAAATGTATTTGATATTTTTTAGGGATACAATTGACAATGTAGCGCAGTAGTAAACTTAATCAAAGGCACATGAACAAATGGGTGTACTTTGTGATATTTTACACTTTTTAATATTTTGCAGTTATATTTTGTTGAGAACAAATTCATAGCTTTAAAAAAAGGATAAGATTACAATGTAATACAAATAAATCTGGAATATTTTTCAACTTCATCGAATGAGGCTTTTTAGGGCTTGCTGAACACTACGTGAAAAAAGCTTTCCGTTAATAGAACATACTGCATTTACTCCAATTAGGACGGCCGGGACAGCAATACTGTTATCACTTTACCTTGGAAACAAGAAGATGCCTTGTCCAGCATGGTCCAAAGCAAGAGGTTTTTACTGGTACTGGTATCCTTTTCATCAAGTGTTTTCGGTGATTACTTATTTGCTTTCATTTTGCTTTCCTTCAACCTATCGTAAGGACTCGTGACTATTTTACTGTCATGTTTTACTGTATGTACTCCTTATTATTATCAACATTCATCGGTATTTTGAATGCTAGCTCCTTAACACATATCGTTATTATTCATTCGTTTTGGAATGATAATTGTTTTCCTGGAAGGATAATAATGCCTTATTTCTATTGATCTTGTTTTGTAATTATATACGGTTTAACTCTTCACAGCAGGACAGTGGTATCATTAAATTTGTTAGTAAGGCTCTTGTTGTTCTTTCAAAACTAAATGCCTTTTTATATCTTGGTTGCATGTTGCTCTATGTAATCTTCTTATATTAGCTTTTGGTACGTTGATATTTAACCTGCCCTCAATTTCCGTTAATAGATGCTATACGGTTGTGTTGACTTAAAACACTGGGTCTCAGAACTTACGTTTTTTTGTTTATACCTATTCCTTTTTTGTGTTGATAAAGACAATGGACATTATGTTGTTAGTGGCCTTTTGTATTGGATTTAAATTAATTTCTTTTCAACCTTCACGGACACCTTACCTTAATTTTATTGTCCATCTAATTCGAGTGTTGTCATTTTCAACTGTACTAAACAGGTTATGTTAAAAATTATCAATCTACAGCCTACAGTAATCGAACACATGCTCTAAATTTTGGGTTTTCCGCACTTGTGATTCTATTGTGAATATGAAGCAATAAATATATAAAGCGATTCTCTCTGTTTGAGTGGGTATTCGTAACCCACGAGGTCATGTACCCACGATATGTTGTTTTGTCGGGAAACCACGGAATTCGGGCCGCAAGAAAATATCTTATTTTACAGTATGTTGTCATTTTAATTACCTGGTCCCCTTGCTGTGCTGTTGGTGTATACAGTTTGTCTTACATTTTAATTTCTCTTTTGTTTTTGTTTTTTGTTTGTCTGTCAACTTAATCAGTTTAACAAAATGTCTCTTGTCTATTGCAGATGTTTACTGTCTTTATTTATATGCTGTCGTATTGTCATCAAATTTACAGCAAGCTTCTGTAATGACAGTAAAACAATATACGTATATAAAAATATATAGTATATGATTATGAGTTTCCATTCCCGACAAGATCTATGAAACGAATAAAAGGAATCATTTGCGCAGTATTCAGTTAAGCTAAATAGTGTCATTTCAAATAATATCTGTGAGAGTCTCGTACAAAATAAAAACGAATCCGAGAATGTTTTCCCAAAGAAATAATGAAGGATTACTGCAAATCAAAATTAACGTGTTTCGCCATTTAAAGCAAAATTGCATGCTATTTGGCGTATCAGTGATTATTCCAGCAATCAATGGATAAGTAAATATGTCAACCATTTATGTTTTGTTTACATATTTCAGATTTTGATCGGTATATTGGTTGGATGGGGGATGTCGGCCATCATGACTGTGACAGGAGCATTGACGAACGATCCGGATAATTCTCAATACATGGCGCGTATTGATGCACGATCAGGGATCATTACTACGGCTACCTGGTTCAAAATGCCTTATCCAAGTTTGTATTGTTAAAGGAATATGTTACCTTACTGCTATTGGTATCTCCATTTCAAAAGAGTTCCGTTCAATAAACCTGCAGTTGAGGGACGATAACTGTATTTGATTATTTCAAGTTTATAACTTTGATCTTATTTATTTTCATGATAGCCGATTGTATGTTGAAACGTTCAGACTAATACCTCACTCATATAATATTCAGAGATTTCTTAATTAGGAAATATTAACCATTCTAAGGGATATGATTTGTTTTTAATCAGAATTCCCTTGTACAATGTAGTATGCAACGTAAGTGATTCATTAGCCAGGCTGTTGTTTTAATTGATTTAGGCATTGCCAAAAATAGTTCGTGTAACAAACGAAAAGGATGTTCACATATTAATTATAGCTTGTTTGATGTTTACAGATAGGTTCGGGCCGCCAACTTTTAATGCTGGTATTTTCATCGCATTCCTTATCGCCACGGTCACTTCAATCCTTGACTCCATCGGCGATTACTACGCATGTGCGAGAGTGTGTAACGTGCCACCTCCACCACGACATGCCGTCAACCGGGGGATTGCCGTCGAGGGGTTTGGTAGTATTCTTTCCGGGTTATTTGGTTGTGGTCACGCAACTACCACTTCCGGCGGAAACATCGGGGCTTTAGGAGTAACAGGGGTGAATTATACTTTTGTTTCATCGATGGGAATGTAAATAAATGAACATTTATAATTTATATGTCATGAGCTAATAAGGATAAATTCCATTTACTTTTGTTAAAGGCTGTTCATTGTTTTTTTTTATTAAACTCATCATGATGCCTTTTTATTTCGTTATCCGTACCTGCGATTGCATTTCAAAGCGGGGACTTGACGTTGATTTTACAAACAGGGTGTCGACGATTTTATAAGCAAAAGAGATTAACTCTTCCGGAAGACTTGGTCTTATTACCTATGTTATTTGGTAAGGGTAAGCTATTAATCTTTCCTTTTTTATAGTTTGCCCATGTTCAATTATTCGGAGTTCGATTTATCATTTTGTTTGCACTTTGGTATTCTCTTGTTGTATTGTCTATGCATTCCGTGTTATTTTTCTATATTTTGTTCTTATATAATGAACAGACTCTGTTCATCCTCATGGTTGTTTAGGTCTCAAGCGAGGTAACCACAAAAAATCATCAGACTTACGAGTGTAAACTTTGTATGATTACAGGTAGCTAGTCGAGATGTGTTTTGGTGGGTGTCCTTGATCTACATCGTGTTCGGTCTCGTTGGGAAGGTCTCGGCTGTCTTCATTACCATTCCAGTACCTGTCCTAGGTGGCGCCATGATAATAATGTTCGGAATGTTAAACGGTATCATACTCTCTAATCTGCAAGTAGTGTCTCTATCCTCCACTCGAAACCTAGCAATCATCGGGACGGCTCTGCTTGTAGGTTTGATGGTACCTTATTGGCTGGAGGCCTTTCCCGACGACCTCAACACAGGTATTTATACATTTATCTCAAATAGGTTGCCATATTGCTGATCCTTTTTCTACAAATTTTTGTCTATAGATTAACTTTCACACAATTCAGCACAATATAGGGTCATCCACGAGTTAAAGGCAGTGCATTAATTTGTATGATTGTATTAACCACTTTTGCTGTAAAATGTTCTTTTTGTTCATATCAGGCTATAATGTGTTCTGTTATTATATCAGTAATATCAGGCTATATTGTGTTCTGTTATTATATCTGTAATATCAGGCTATAATGTCTTCTGTTAGTATATCTGTAATATCAGGCTATAATGTCTTCTGTTAGTATATCTGTAATATCAGGCTAGAATGTGTTCTGTTATTATATCTTTAATATCAGGCTATAATGTGTTCTGTTATTAGATATCTGTAATATCAGGCTATAATGTGTTCTGTTAGTATATCTGTAATATCAGGCTAGAATGTGTTCTGTTATTATATCAGTAATATCAGGCTATATTGTGTTCTGTTATTATATCTGTAATACCAGGCTATAATGTGTTCTGTTATTAGATATCTGTAATATCAGGCTATAATGTCTTCTGTTAGTATATCTGTAATATCAGGCTAGAATGTGTTCTGTTATTATATCTTTAATATCAGGCTATAATGTGTTCTGTTAGTATATCTGTAATATCAGGCTAGAATGTGTTCTGTTATTATATATGTAATATCAGGCTATAATGTGTTCTGTTAGTATATCTGTAATATCAGGCTATAATGTGTTCTGTTATTATATCTAATGTCAGGCGTTTAACTGTTTTGTTATTATATCTGTTATATCAGGCGTTGATCTGTTTTGATACTGTATTTGTTATATCAGACGTTCATCTGTTTTGTTATTATATCTATTATATAGGGAGTCCTTATTACGACAACATTTTGAAATCTCTTCTTGTCAATCCGAATTTGTGTGGAGGAATACTTGCCTGTTTTCTAGACAACACCGTACCAGGTGAGTTCACGTTTACCACATGCAATGTGGACAAGAAAGTATGAGGCAGTTTCTTTTTACAATGTAAGAATGACAACAAGTAAAATGGACAAAGTAGTATCAGGCAATTTCACGTAACGATGTGATAATAACCACAAAAGTACAGTGTACAACGCAGTATTAGGTAGTTTCTCGTTATATAGTTAGAATGACAACATTCACAGTATAAAGTAGTTTGTCGTTACAACGTGTGACTTAACAAAGCAGTATTACTAGTGTCTCTTTATGACATGTGACTTATCAAAGCAGTATTACATAGTGTATCTTTATAACATGTGACTTAACAAAGCAGTATTACTAGTATCTCTTTATAAAGTGTGACTTAACAAAGCATTATTACTAGTGACTTTATAACATGTGACTTAACAAAGCAGTATTACTAGTGTCTCTTTATAACGTGTGACTTAACAAAGCAGTATTACCAGTGTCTCTTTATGACACGTGTCTTAAAAAAGCAGTATTACTAGTGTCTCTTTATAACATGTGACTTAACAACGCAGTATTACCAGTGTCTCTTTATGACATGTGTCTTAAAAAACAGTATTACTAGTGTCTCTTTATAACGTGTGACTTAACAAAGCAGGATTATGTAGTGTCTCTTTATAACGTATTACTTAACAAAGCAGTATTACTAGTGTCTCTTTATAACATGTGACTAAACAAAGCAGTATTACTAGTATCTCTTTATAACTTGTGATTTAACAAAGCAGTATTACTACTGTCTTTATAACATGTGACTTAACAAAGCAGTATTACTAGTGTCTTTATAACATGTGACTTAACAAAGTAGTATTACGTAGTGTCTCTTTATAATGTGTGACTTAACAAAGCAGTATTAGGTAGTGTCTCGTTATGACATGTGACGTAACAAAGCAGTATTAGGTAGTTTCTCTTTACAATGTCAGAATGACTACATTCAAAGTCACAACAGAACGCTTTATAGGATCAGATTGATCATTTGCTCTACATATTGAACATTTGAGCTTTCGATTTTAATTCAGCTTGACATCGTATACATTTAACTAATGTATATTGACTCTGGTTACAATGCCAAGCTGACTCCATCTATACATGTAACAGTCAACTATTACCTCGCATGGTTGATAGTCAGGTTACTTCATCCATTATTTTAAAACAGACGTTGAAATCATGGAAAGGTGAAGGATCTGCACATGAATTTAACCACCTTGGTGACATGACCTACCTTTTTATATTTGGTGTGTTGATATTTCCCTCAATATGCCATACCTTTTGGTAATGTATTCAATATAGCTTAATAAGTTCATTCATCAAGATGAATTCTATAAATCAAATTGTATATTACCCAGGTACATTGGATGAGCGAGGTATAACAGCATGGCGGAATCCAAGCAAGGGAGACAACTTGTTCCAGTATAGTGAAGGACTAGAGGTGTACAACCCTATTATACCAAAAACGTGGATGAAGTCAAGAGTCATGAAATACATTCCGTTTTTTCCGTATGAGTCGAAACAGGCGGTCAACATCAATAGCCATATTGAGTAAACATCTTTAAAAACATGTAGTTTTTCGTAAATTCGAATTTGGACATTTCGACCAATATTTTAACAATCCCGGACTTGTCTGTAAAAGTAGACATAATAATAGTGTATCCAAGAATATCTATAGAAAGGTAGAGTATAGCACACATAATAATAGGGTATCTAAGAATATCTATAGAAAGATGTAGTATAGCACACATAATAATAGGGAATCCAAGAATATCTATAGAAAGATAGAGTATAGCACACATAATAATAGGGTATCCAGGAATATCTATAGAAACATAGAGTATAGCACACATAATAACAGGGTATCCAGGAATATCTAAAGAAAGATAGAGTATAGCACACATAATAATAGGGTATCTAAGAATATCTATAGAAGGATGTAGTATAGCACACATAATAATAGTGTATCCAAAAATATCTAAAGAAAGATAGAGTATAGCACACATAATAATAGGGTATCCAAGAATATCCATAGAAAGATAGGGTATAGCACACAGATTCAAACTTGTTTTGGGCCGATGTTAACAGTTTGCCTGTTATGTTTATATAAATTATTGTCTAAAAATACTTGTCGTTTTAGAAATGTTTTGTTTTCAGCAACTTTATTCAATAAATTCTACTGAATTGGAAAAAAAATGTGCTGATTTAGTCAACAAATTCAAAGAGAACTGTCTCATTTGAAGCATATCAACTAATCTGATTGGGAACCTGCACTCCTCCCGCGCTCAGTATTCTAATGTCTGAAAACGGAATCTGATAAATCTCAACTTAGCACGGTTAAAGAAAAATTGACTCCAGAAGCAGTTGTGTATTTTTTCAAATGAATATTTAGCATTCGGAGAGACAAAAACGGTCAGATAGAAACAAAGACAGGGAGATAAGTTTATCGAAAGTGGGCGATTCTAAGTGGTTAGACATATTTTTGTTTAAAGTTTGAAATGCACCTGTTTAACATTTGTTAGGGAATGCAACACAGTTCCCTAGTTTTATTGGTTTTGAGTTCAAATAATGTTTTTTTTTTGTCACTACGACATATTTTTCAACATTTAGATACCCCGTTGGATTCTTCATATTGTACCTTTATTACATGAATATATTGATTAATCCACCCTCTTGACAATTTGTATAATATCTTGATATATTCGAGAAATGGTTCAAAATTAGATAAATAAACCATTAACGATAACGTTTTGCATGATATGTCTTGAGTTAAGTAGCCCTCAATATTAAACTTTTTGTATATTGGAAATATTTGAAATGCAATCCTGAAAGCTGAAATTTAAATATTGCATTGTGAAATTATTTTGACGTTTACACATAAGTTCATAATATAAATATCAGAAAGATATACAACACAGTTGCTTCATATATCCGTCATTCCCAACAATACAATCTCAAATAAACATCTCTCTCTCTTCATTTCGAACAGTATATCACATATACTTTAAATCTTAGTTAGGCTCCGTAGGTCTTTAAATGGCCATGCTATCCGATATTTCAGGGCGTGTCCTTATTCATGTCTAAAAAGTGCAATTATATATCATTTCTTCCAACTGTTTCCTTATTCCAGATCATTTCTTTCAGAGGGAGGTTCGTTTATAGGTATAGTGTTTCACTGGCAGCAATATTTATACTCTGCCCATATAACACCTGCCATTGCCATAAAACATGAACTTTTGACCGCAAAACTCAACTGAAATCAACAGTGAAACAGTATTTGCAGAAATAAATAAAAGTAATAATGTCTGGTAGTCGGACAAACGGCGAGGTTGACAATAAATAGGGAAATATCTTTATAATCAACAGCTTTGGAAATCACAGCAAATGGAGTTCATGCTAAGTGACGAGCTCAGGTTACACATCTAAACAGTTATTTTGCCAGGGTAGTAAACACGTTTAATACCAACTCATTGTTGTTGTTTTCGTGAGTAGTTGACGATGTGCCCAGTAACTTGAACCCAGTATTCCGCATGCCCCGCCCGCGTCATCTAGCCACTACTTCTAGGGCCTCAGCAATTAGGATCTCGGTATTGTTGGGCAGGAAATGAATGACTACAAGGAGCAAAGAATATACTTTTATTTAGACAGTTTGATCGCAAACAGTATTACAGGTGAACAGTTTTCACGTTAATNTGCCTACGTTAAAAGTTGCAGCTTTTATGACATGGGAAGATTGCAAGCACATTTATTACTCCTGGTACAGTAGATCACTAAATGTTTACTGTAGATGTGATACCCTATGCAAATATTACGATGACTGTTGTTTTGATACGAATACGAAACTCGTTGAAAAAGGCACGTCTGAAATGTTTCCTTTTATAAAAAGGTCGACATGCGAATCCATCGACTACAAAGACGATCGCTACATGGTTGGAGCATTTATGGTGTCGATATGTTTGAACAACTGGCAAGACGATGAAACGAAGCGAAAGTATGACGAGTTGATAAACACAAACCTTATGTATTTTTTGCAAGTTTCCCATGTCAAAACAAATGTTACATTCAAAAATAGGTATTGTGCAAAATGCAACAACGTTACTGACGAGATTCCTTGGAAATTGAAATTTACATGTTTAGATGACAATTACCTTACAAATGTGGAAAATGATTCCCTAACCGTGACAGTTTTAGACAGAATGAACTCTTCACTTTGTAGTTACAATTTCATCCCACCTGAAGAATGCGGTATACGCCAGTGATTTCCAGTATTTCCTTACCTAACAGATGATCCACATGGTCTGTAATTCCTGTAATGATCGTTTTGTGGCACCAGTTTACGTACTGGCAGATTCGAGCGAAGTGCACATCTTCAAGAATCCACATTACTTACAACAGCACAAAGGTTTGGATGAGAATGCTAGCAAACACTGTTTTGATGCACGTGCAATTTACAATCCGTCACATCGACACACTATCAGCAGTTTAATAGACATTTCTTCTCTATTCCACAAAAGCGATGATCATGAAGGATGTGGCGAAACACAGGTCTACCTGTCAGAGCAGGTAAGACAAAAAGCATGGTTTCGAATTTAAGAGTTGATCAGTAAAATGGTTATTTATCTAAAAATGGTAGTAAAATAAAGTAGTCAAGCGATCAATAAAAGCAATCTAAGCACTATCGTATGTTTGTTAGAAACAAAACATTTGTATTATACAGTGTTATCCACACAAAGTATGTTTGATTTTCTTGCGAAGATAATGGTTTATAACGGTAACTATTGTAACTGTCCAAACGGTATTTTCTATTCACTCCATTTGTTTCTGCCTGGTGTTTTTTTGTTCCAATTACAAATGAAACGACGGTACTTCACGCGGTTGTATTTGTACAGATTTGGTTCATACCTATCTTCATTGACATCACAACATAATTTGTTGAAAGCGTATAATGCTTAAGATTGTAGCAGAAAATGTTAGATTTCCGTTCAGTTGTTCGTTCGAAATTGCACAAAGTCTTGTTTTCAAGCATAACGACAACATTAAGTCAACTTATCCAAAACTTTGTTGATGCGGTAATAGATAATCGTTGTTGTACTTTCATAAATGTAATAATACCAATGATATTTCACTCATATGGCAGAGAATACCATACTCGTGAAAAAATATCAATATTCTTGCATACTCGTGAACATTGTATGATAATCAACAATGTATTGCCAACTACGCCGGAGTAGAGCCTGCGCCTATCCACGCCACATTGTTCAAACACTTTAAAGTAACTCTATAATCCAAGGCCAATGCGTGCTAAAAGCATTAGTGAACATCAAATTTTACAAAATACTTCATATTTCATATCTAATTGATATAAACATATAATAGAATGTACAACAGAATACTAACGGCAACATATATCCCTCGTGTAAATCCTAGGAGTTTGGGCACACTCACATTTGCATAATAATGCGACTTAATAAACACCTTTGTTTTGCATGAACAGCAACCGTATTGATCCCCCAAGTTACAACAAACCAATGTCCAAAAGTACATTTATTTTGATATTTGACATCCAAACTCTTCATCATTGTGGTGTGTTTGCTCTACAACATTTAACGACCGGTAATCGTTTACTGTTACACTTCGTGTGTAGTATTTGTACTTGTATAATATTTCGGTAACATTTCCGTACTGTTTGCGCAGCATAAGCGTAGTGTTGGTGTTCATTCTCAAAAAACGTTCGTCATTCGTTCTGGTAAAACAAAATCTGGAATGCAATTTTAGCGGAACGACATGATGATCAAGTTCATTATTAACCTAATATGTTACCATTGATATATATCAATGGCAGACCAAACAAGTAGAAGAGAACCTCAACTAAAACATGAACCAAAGCCAGACTTAATGTGTAAATGAAATAAAAATGATTTTTTTAAAAATGCGGCGCATTTTAATTCCACGTTCATGGGGCTTTGTATTTACCGTACACAGATAATTTGTTTATATCCATGTATGCCAAAAGGTTTCGTAATACCGCATGTGAGAAAAAAAAAAGTTCTATGTCATTTTATAGCCATGTGTTTCATCTGATAATATATTCTTATAATAAATAAATGTTAATGATAATTATACCCGTACACATGTTTCACATGTGCTTCTTACGCTAAAAAACATTCGAGCAATACGATAGAATTAGGTAAAAACAAAGAACAGATGAGTTTCGACCGTTATTCTTTTACTGGGCATTTTGGTAATTGACTGTTTGTTTTTATACCCCACCCTTTACGAAAGGTTTTGATCAAAAATAATTATTTTCCTTCTCATCAGCTTACATACAAATGTAAGTTATACGCTGGAATGTCACAAATTCAAAAGTTTAAAGTAATTTTGGGTTTTCCTGTTGTTTTCTATTAAATTAACTTAAAGTTTACAATTTCAACGTGCTTTTTTCAATATGTTTCACAAACGATATGAACCGAAGACACCTTCCTTATATCAAAAGCAATCTTTCTCTACAGTACCTTTGTGTGTGATAACAAAATATTAGGTCGTTTCTTTCATAGGTTGGCTGTCATCAACTCTACTGTCCACTCAACTTCAGACGGCATCACGGCCATTGTGTTCAAACAGAAATGCTTGCTATTTATTGGAACTATTATTTGAAGGTAACCTTACGTTGAAGATACCTTTTCAGCGGATGGTTTATAAGATAATTAATGACATAAAGGCAAGATTGGATTATGTCGTCATGAATGAGAAGATTGAAATACATACTCTGTCGGGTGAGTATGTTATCGGAAAGGATTACTCATCGGGACAGCCTTGTACCTTTTACAGAAACCAAATTCCTCTGCAGGTTACAATAAGACTGTACTAGAATTACAAATCAATTTTCTTCGAGGAAAACTCCTTAACTATTCGGAACAATTACCAAATGGCATACTTATTCATTTTTTGACAACGTTGAAAATTCGTCTTGTATGACAAATTTCTCTGTTCTGAATCCTAGATACATATTCAGCAGGCATTCATCTGTGACCGAACTAACTTGTGCTGCAGTGAGTGTGAAGAAAACTACCACAAAACATTCTGGCGGACACATACTTAAAAACATCTCGAAATCAGGCGAGTTTAGTTTCTACATAGCTGGAACAACTA